AGACTCTGACTCAAAAAAAAAAAAAAAAAAAAAAAAACAAGATGAACCATAAGGAGAAGGAAAAAAAATAAATAACGGTTCAAAAGCATTCATTGTGGTTTTCCTGCCCCCCGTTGTGCTCTACTGAGCATACAAATGACGCGTCATTACCCCAGCTGGGGCGCCACATCGTAGTACACACATACGTGAAACTTCTTCTACACTCAATTTGTAAAGTTGTTACGCACAGCTCATCGCAAATGGGTGAAGCGGCTTGTACCTACGAAACATTCATGCAAAGAGAAAAAAAAACAAAGGGGAGAAAACTCAACTCTAGTGATAGTGCTGCCCTTTTATGCCTGAAAAGTCGCTCAATTTGAATCCCCGATCGATTAAACTGAAGATATAATTTTCAAAGTCACTTCTGTTTAAGTAAGAAAAGCTCTTGTCATGTATCGTTTCGTCTGTTTGGTCATCCCGGTGTAATGATGTAACTGGTTTGCCCCTCTCTATCTCTCTCTTTATGTGCGTCCAGACATAGGCAGGCATAATTCTCTCGATGGGGAAAATTTCTTCAAAAAAGTGTATTCGCCTTGTGTAGGCATAGTTGGCGGGGTTCATTCGCTTAAAGTCCACGTCACTAATGATCCAGGTGTTGGTGGGGGCACACGCAAGGCAGTTCATTTTGTTTGGCCTTACAAAGGTGAGGAGCGAAATGAGGAGGATGAGTAATATTGCTGCTATCGTAGCAGTCAGGTGTGCACAGGCGCCAAAACAGCTCTCCAATTTTGTGTCCTCCCTATTCTGTGTTGCTCCCTTTCGTGCCATGTTTGTGAATACATTTTGGTATGTCTCATCGAAGGTGATTCCCCCTTTGGGGGTTCTCCCCTCCCCCATTGAGGCTCCGCTTGAAAAGGCATCCAAATTGGCAAATCCATCTTTACCATTTGAGGCGGTTCGTAGGTATGAATGGGCAGCTGATTCGTCCTGTGCGAAGCGCCCGTACTGATTAGAGGAGTGGACTCCCACAACGGTGGTCCTCCTGTCGAGACAAATATGTACATTGTACAGGACGTTGCTCAAGACGATGGTGAGTAAAATCTGGGGGATGAAAAACTTCGTTAAGAGACACCAATGAATTGTGAGCTTATGGAAGAGGAGAAGTCCAAAGGGAGATTCTTCCTTTTTTTCCAAATCGTAAGTCCTCCTTCTTCCATACAGAATTTTGTTGAACCTTGTCCGCAAAATGTCCACGTTAAGGACGTAGAGCAAGTAGAACTTCTCCCTCAGTCTGACATTCAAATTGGCACTGTAAATAAAGAAGACATTGACGGATAGAAAGAGAAGTGCGCCGACCAGCAGGGGTAACCCAAATGAGAAAAAAACAAAATTGGGGAAAATACGCCTGTGCAGGTATAGCAGAACTGGCGGCATCACCCACACCGCAGTGAAGAGGCACAATGTTGGTTGACGCAAAAAAGAGCGCTCTTTTTTTTTGGGGGACGCTCTTATTATCCGTCCCCCCCGTTCAGACGCATACGTCCATGTAACAGAAACCAGTTGGGCAAAGACGACAAAAAGATACACAGAACTAAACGTGGCGTATTTCATAACCAAATTTGTGTTGTGTCCAAAAGGAGACAAATAAAAGAGCCCCAAAAGGCAATACCCCAGAATTACAAACAGGGTGATAACCTTCTTTTTGATGCCTTTAAACTTTCTACTTTCCTTTAGCACCATTATTAGCCCCTTCAAATGGAGAGCAGAGGATGTGAGCAGAGCTAGCAAAGAACACAAGAAATAGGTGAAGCTCATCATATTTTGGAAGTTCACTCTTGATAAGGAAGCCATATAAACGAGGAAATTGTTAATTGGGTCTCCTTTTTTGGAAAACAAATCGTAAAGAGAGCAAATCCCCTCAGGTGATCCATCATACGTTTGTGGTATCATTATCTCCAGGGTTCTTCTCCCAGTGGGAACACTACTCAGCAGTTCTACACACACGTAGTAATGTACAATGTGTATAACCATCCCGATGAAGGAGCCCAACACGACATACCACGCAGACACAAAAAGGTTATCCCCGATATTACTATAGGACGAAAACAGGTAGTTAATTCCTGTACTGCAATTTAGAGACACCAATACGAGGGTACATACTTTTGCCACTACTTCGAAGTTTAGGTAAAGGAAATAGTCCGTGTTGAAAAAGATACTGCCATTGGTATGCCCATCTTTAGGGTGGGTCCCCTCTCCATTGATGGAAACCCACTTGTTTGACTTCAATTCGTAGGAAAGAACAAATATTTGACAAAGCGCTACAAGGAAGAAGAGGAAGAATATATACTGCAGGAATTGAGTTAAACACATACCCTCTACCCTTAGCAGGAAATAGAGAGTGAGTGTGATTAGGAAGAGCGCCCCGATTTTCCAAGCTAATTTTACTTCTTTGGAGAAGAAATGGTACCACTCAGAAGTGGCATCAGATTTGCAGTGATCCCCCGCGGGAGGAATTTCACTCAGGATGAACCCCTTCCGTTCACTTCTCATTTGTGTGTCTAAAATGGCAGACCGTTGGCCCGGATAGAATAATATTTCTTGAGAATTCCCTCTAAGGGGGTCATTCCTTCGCCTCTTACCCGTCACCCATATGCATTTCCCATTCCGGAGGCAGTCCCCCCTGAGTGGGATCCCTTCACATTGGTTCAAATTCCAAGGCAAAGTTTTTCTCACCGAGGAGACAACAACAATCGCAGTGTCCACCGTGTCATGAGCACTTCTCGATAGTATACAAAAAGATATGATCATTGAAGAGATTGCGACTCCTCTGTACTTTTTTTTTAAGAAACTTAAGCCATTGATTATGCACCCTTGCGATAGTTGACCAAGGGTATATTCCATTTGAAGAATCGGCAAACCGATACATAGGTAGCAGAACAGGAGCAGAAACAGCAGAAGAGCATAATCAAGGGACGAGGTCATTCGCGGCAAGTCTAAGTAGCATTGCGCGGTTAGCGACGCACCTATGCAGGAGCAAACAAACTGACACAGCGAAGTCCATCTGTCTCGCTTATTAATCCTTTTTTGATTAAAACTTATAATTTCGTTTTTTAGAACTTTTTTAAAATATATCTCAATTTCTTCTGAACAGAGTCGTTTCATGTGTTTGCTGGCACTTCGTTTGGGCTCTCTCGAATTGGCTCCTTCCTCTTCCTCGTCTGGGGTTTTATCCCAATTTCCGCTTAATCGCACTTTTTTGTCGACTCTTCTTCCATTTCTATTCTCTTTGAGCTCCATCCCGCACTGTTCACTGAACCGATTAGAGAGTGCGCTACCGATTTCGTTTTCTCCTTTTTGGCTACTTTGAGACCACTTCTCCTGTTTCGCATCTGCCAATTCGTCCACACTTTGCCTCATCTGTCCGTGCATTTGGTTTTCTTCTTTGAAGTGATCCTCCCTCCGTGTGGTGTGTGCGCCCCTTTGGAGGTACCTCTGGCGATACTTCACTTCTTCCTTCTTCACCATGTGGACGCCCTTGTAATATCTTTCAACGAGGGGGTCCCCTTGCGCCTCCGCCAAATTCTGCACCATGCATATGTAGTCCTCATTATAAGCGTTCTTTATTTTTTTCTTATCAATATCGTGGTAGTTTAAAAAGTAAAGGTTCAAACTGGCCATGAAGGAGGGATCCCTGGAGTCATACAGTTTCTTCCAAAAGGAGAGAACTTGACTCTTCACTTTTTCGAGGCACCCCCTTTTCTCCCCTCCGATGGTGTCCCCTTTGATCGATTCGCTTAACATTTCTTGACTCCTGTGGAATTTTCCCACCCTCCTATCGCCACTGCTGCGGTAGTTGTCACTCACCAATTGGCAATTTTTCCTTTGACTGATAATTCGGAAGAGTTGGGAGGCGTACGATTTTGATCCTGCGTCATCGTCGTGGTTTCCTCGGTAAACAGTATCACCACCACCGTCCCCCCCATGGTAGCCTTTCCCCCTTGATAGGATAACCCCTTTATGATCGGGCACCCCAAGTATGAGATTCTTTATTCGACTAGTCCTGGATTTATACCCCAAAGCATCGTATCTCTCCAAAGCGTACTTCCCCACCTCCTCCAAACCACTAACATGATCATCGGAATCGTCCCAAATTTCATCCTCATAGGATTGTTCTGATTCTAACTCAAAGTTGTTGTCGTAAAAAGGGAAATTATAATACTTGAAAAAATCCTCTCTAGGTATAAAAGTGCTTCTCCTTATTTGGTCATAATCGCAATTGTTGTGGCAATTTACACTTAATCTGTTTATGTAGTCTTGATAGATGTCACTGTATGCAAAATTGAGGCACATGTTGTAGAGGCTACTTTTTAAATCGTTTGGATACTTACATCCTTGGTAGTTGAACTTTTTTCTCCTTTTTTTTTTCTTTCTTTCTGTGTAGGCAGGATCCTTGGGGCCCTTTTCCCTTTTTTCGGGGTGCTCCCTTGTGATCATTTTGGGAACGTTTGCAAATTATTCCTTATCGATTTTGTTGGTGTGTCGGGTCGTAATACATGAACTTATCGCTCCTGCGCATGTTTATGCCGGAGGTATGCATGTGTGTGAAAGAGGTATACACGTCTTGCTTCCATGCCGCAGTACTCAGTTTTGTTTCCCCCAGACTCCCAAGAATTGGCACATTTGAAATGGCTTTGCAATGTTCTCGATTTTTTCTTTTTTTTTCCTTATTTTTTGAAGTTCTTACGCCAGTGTAGCTGTTCTAAGGGGGAACAAAAAGGAAGAACTCAAGCTGCAGAGCGCCATGCATACTTGATGCACGTGCTGAAAATCTGTACATTTTTCCAAGGGGAAAAAAAAAAACACAAAGAGAAGGAGAAGTACAAGGACAACCTTTTAACACCATTCGAAATTTCCCTCCCTTTTGGCAATTCATTTTAAATTTGCACGAACAATTGTTGCACGGCGCTCCATTTTTTATTTCTTTCGATGGGGCGTCTCAACCACTTTCTGTAGGTGCGCTAGGGTTGTGAAAAAAAATTGCCATGTGTTTATTACAAGTGTTCTTTTACTACTAATGTGTTGGACATGCTTATACGTACATCTTTTTCTTTACACCTTACGTGTGGAGGGGAATTTCGCACACGTTGTTAATACTTACACATGTGTAGAACTTCCTTCTGGAAGCTCTAAGAAAAAACACCCTTATGCGTTGTGCTCCCCGTGCAAATGCCTTGGTGCACCCAGTTTACACACACCATTGATGCGCTTTGCAGGTGTACCTCCCCCCCTTTTTTGGCAACACATTTGCACTGAAAATTTATGATAATCAAATTTTACTTTAAAAGAATTCCCTCATTGTGATTGGAACAAAAGGGAGTCCCTTTCTCGCGCCACTGGGCCGAGCAATGAATCAGTTTTTTACTTTTCCACGTTCGGGGGTGGCAACCAGAATAGTGATCAATGCGTTACGAAACTGGGGTAGACATTAAGACGGGGTAATAACGCGCAGAGACGAAAAAGGGGAGAAAGAAGGACAAAAGGAAGATGCAAGACGGGTGATGACCAAACATTTGAGTGCACATGGGGTAGTGACGTCTTCACCGTACCACTGCCCTGATGAACTTTTCCGAGAAATGTGTAAAGGTTTCATAACTCCCCGTTCCGAGCTTGCAGAAGGTACATATTAAGACAA